GAACTCTTAGAAAGTGAATATATATAAATATAAAATATAAATAAATATAAAAATTTCCTTAGAACAAAGATAAAAATTTAAGTATGTTTAACTATTTAAAAATTTTTTTAAAGGTTAAAACTTCCTTGATTGTCAGGTGATTTTAAATTTTTTTTTTATTGGCTGTATTTATCTGGTAAGTGGTTGTATGGCAAATTCAACACAATCAGTTGTGTTCCTTTATGTCTCTTTGAGAAGGATTATTTTCAGAATCTTGTTTTTATATTCTAGTGGCATAGTGGAATACCTTTCTCTTTTCTGATAAGATTACAAATGGCTTTGAGTGGCATAGCTACATATACCTTTGTTTCAGATTTATAATAGTAAACAAGGGAATTTACAGAACTCTAAGACAGATATTAGAAAAGTGGAATCCATGAGTAATTTTATGAACTAAGTATTAAAATAGAAAAAAATAGAGTGATGACACTTAAGGCACTAAATTATGTTACAAGTTCATTTTTTCTTTATTCATATATAACACAATTTTAGATTATAGAAAACCATCATTTCGTTTCAGAAACAAAGTTATACCATGACTATCACATTAAAGCTTTCTAACTGAAGAACTTGAGAATTTTTATTTTATTTTATTTTATTTTGTGGTACCAGGGATCAAACTCAGGACCTTGTGCTTGTGGAGCAGGTGCGGTGCCACTGAGCTAAATCCCCAGCCCCTAAATTGAACAATTCTGAGTACTCCTCCTAAACATCTTAAACTGCTTATGGTCACATCTACTACAGGGTCAAAAAGGAACAATCATGTGTCTAGGTTTAACACTGAATTTTAGTCTTACAAACACCTTCAACTCATAAATTTTATTGAATCATATTTAAATCTACCAAAGCTATTCTATTACCATTGTTTTTACACATAACCCTGATCTGAAATTCTCACTCCTACTGGAAGAGATACTAAGAATTTATTTACTAACATAGAGGATAACATAAAAATTAAGCAAAGTGTATTTAAAAAATAAAGCTCAAGAAATATATTTAAAATTAGATCTGTTTTAAAATTATAATAAACACACATTAGTCAATGTAATATTATTATATACAAGTTGATGAACTTAGTCTAAATAAAAGTATAACCATAGAAAATAAGTGGGTGGGGTTTTCATAGAGTATGTGCAATACCTATTAAAGCCTATTGTATCCCAATATGAAACATGTAAGTTAACACTAGTCAGAGCGAAGAACCCACTAGGAAGAAAAGCCTGTCATCATCTACTCTCATGTAATATCTGTTGCTTACAAATACATAAGAGTTAAGACTTGCTTTTTTAAAAAACGGTTTGTGTTAAATATGGTTTATTGTTAGTTTTATTGACTATGTGTATAAGATGCATCTTTACCGTGCCTCTGCAAACAGGATACATCTCTTTAAAAACATCAAAATTTTCCATACATATAGTTCTATATGATAGATTACAGTCCAACACTATTCTTGTTACAGAATATAGAAATACTATAAAACCCAAGAGCAAAGAATAAGTCAAAGAAATACAACCCTGAGCCATCTGAACAAGATGATTTGATGAATCCTTTTAGTGTAAGTTTAGAAAACACAAAGCAGGGAAAAAATACAACCATACTGATGTCATGAGAAAAATATATAGAACACTTACCCCTTCATAGACATAGCTAGAGGTGATGGTGAATTTCTAACACATGCATGCTCACTCACACTCCTGTTTTCTTCTCTTACTTTTCTCTCATCTTTAATACTTTCACTCCCATGGCTTCCTGAAAGAAAAGGCTAGGCACTGAATCCTAATGAAGCTCACTTCTGCCCAACTGGAGAAGGTTAAGAGACTGCCAAAAAATAAGTATAGGTCCTCACTCACAACATTGAAATAAAGCATTGCTGTAAAGTTAATTCCAGCTGCTTTTGCCTTTTCAGAAGTAAATGAAACATATGCCCACTACAGTTTAAAAATATCTTAAAAACAAAACTTATGCTTCTCTTGCTATGCCTTGAATTAAGATCAACAGTAAGACTAATTGTCTCATGTGCTATTAAAATACATCTGTCACTCCATGTTTGGTATCTATTTAGTTATATCTCAGTAAGAAAAGTTCATGAAGCTTGTACCAGCTCATAGCAAACACTATCGTACCACATAAGACCTGCTCCAGCTGGAGAGGCTCACGAAACACCAAGCCTGCCACGTCTTCCTTGCCAACATCCCCTCGAGATCACAGAATTCTAGTGTTACCAGAGATAATGTAAGTATAAATAGAGTTAAATGATGTAAGCCACCTGACAATCCAAGTAATGAAACTAACCAAACCATGCATCCATACCTCCCCTGAAGATAACCTGAATCTGATGACTAAACAGACTGACTAGTGTGGCTGTCAGCCACTCTATTAAAGGTTGAGCTGGAAAACTAGAAGGCTAACATCATCTATCAGCTGCTCATCTTGTACAATAAACCAAGAGTTCTTGGTTTTTGCAATATCCACTGTCCCAAAGGGCAATACCACTGAGATGGAAATAACTTACATCATAAAGAATACTGAACTTGAACTGCATAACCTATGGGACTAACTACCAGGACAGGCAAAAATAAAAACAAACAAGAATCCTCATCCCCACAATTTGGTTTGGATAAAACCTGGTTTTTGTCTTAGGAAAATTTCTCATAAGCTTTTTTTTTTGGTATTGGGGATTGAACTTGGGTCCTTGTGCTTGCACGGCAGGTGGTGGAACCACTGAGCTAAATTCCCAGCCTGAAAATTTCTCATAAGCTTTTTAACCCTAAGTGTATTTTGTTAACACTTTAAATTACAAAACTGTTAAATTTGTAAAAATTTAATTTAACATTTTATAAATTTACTTAGTGCTAACTTTAAAGATGATGAGCAATTTTGCTGAGGCAAGGTGATACCAATAACATCAGCCTGTGGTTTAAGGATTTCTTACTGTTGTTTTAAAATTTATGATAATATTTCATTAGATTTCAACCAGTCCTACAAAATTTTACCTACTTCACTTGACCATGGTATTACCTACTGGATCACGAGCCATATATTTTTACAGTCGCCATTTTGTATACATTTCTTGAAGTATTTGCCTATAACAGATGTTAAGATATTAATAATAAGCAAATCTTTACAGTTGGAAGATACCTGGGTTGATAATTTTTTTAGTTTCCATATACCATTTTATGTTTTGATTTAAAGAGGATTTGGGGGAAGTTGTGCTTCATTATTCTCATAGGACAATATAGTTATGTGTAAATAGAGTCTGATTCATATTTTTCTAGGTGTGTGTAGATAATTTTTTATATTTTCTAAACTATAACCAAAATTTTTAAATAAGGGCTATAATTTGTGATACTTGAGATAATTCCTAATATTCTGACAAAATTTATATCTTTAAAATAGAGTCACTTAAAATAATGTTGAGTGGAATAAATCCCAAAACACAACACAAAGCACAATATCATCTTTAGAAAGGTAAAAGTTAGCAAAACTAAGCAATACATTATGATATATATATCATATTATATTATAAAATAAGAAAACAAAAAACTATCGGCAAGATCCATGGTTGTTATAACCTTACTGTGGGGTAATCATGAGGATGATATAGGGGATTAGAACACACAAGGTAGCTGCAAATTATTGGGACTCGTGAATATACACACATATACACATACACGTTTCATTATGAATATTATTTAATTTTTAAGTGCAAGAAAATGAGAAGATTTAGATTATTCAGGGGCAAATTGTTAATGAAAGTATAAGAATTCCTCTTTTAGCTGGGGAAGCATTGTTTTAAAAATACGGAACATTGTGAACTTTGACCTCCAGTTTTCATTATATTATTCATATAATAGCAAATATTTAATGATATTTTTCTGGGATTCCTAACTGCTAAACAGTATGCCGAATCGCCTTTTCTAATAATGTTTTATATATTTGTTTTACTATTTTACTTAAGTCTTAAACAATGATATCAGAATGATAATACTTTTACTTAATCACAGGGAAAAAGGCAATCTCAAATTATCCTGCTCATGTACTGGTGATCTCTAGTCATATTTCTGATCAATAAACTCATTATTCCTGGCAGAATATTTCTGGAATTATTTTTTTTTTACAGAGACTAGGTGCAAATAGACTCAGATTTCTATTAAATCATGTAGAAAAAGAACACATCTCCTTTCTAGTAAATCAATAGTATAGAAAGTATGAACAACATTACCAAAGTTTGGAGGAAAGAGCAATCTCATATCAATATCACATTCTAATTTGAATAACATGGAAAAGACACCTTATTCTCAGCAGGGTAGAATTTAGATGTGAAAGAGAAAAGATTCATGTGAAATTTTTTTGTTTTAAAAACATTAACATGTCATTTTTTATATCATTTTTTTCACATTTAAAGATATGGGAAATTTGGCTCATTAGAATGTATTCCGAAAAATTTTTTTTCCTTGCTAGGTTCTGGAGGACTAGTCCTAGCAAGACAGATAGGCAAGCTATCTAGTTATAGTTGAAAGGTCAACCCTGTCACCGCTAGTTTTGTACATGTTTGCCTTTAAATAACAAGGAAAACATCTCTTGAAGACTTGTAAAATATTGTGGGGATGAAGGAGAACCAAATAAAATGTACAAGTTAACTAAATTTAACTCAGAAGCATGAGTTCTCAGAGTCTAGTCTGGATTTAAGCATATCGCTTAAGGTTAAAATAAAATGTCTTACTCTTTGAAAGAGCTCATTTAACTTTGTTGATTATAAAATGCATACATTTTGAATAAAAATATAAAATTAATTTTAAGATTTAAAAGTCCTTCAAAAGTCACCTTGAAATGATATTAACTGAGCAAAGTGAAATTACGCTTAGCCTTGATTAAATGAAACAAGCAACTGATAATTTTTTTAATGTCTATCATATTTAGTTTCACTTTTAATTTCACAAGACGAACAACTTTTACTTTACCTGACGAGGGGTTCTTTCTGATTTACTCCTACACCATTCCCAATCTGAAAGGTCTGGTTTCTGATTCTCTTCATGAGATAATCTTCTTTCTGGACCTTCATAAAAGGTGGTTTCTTCATAGTTAATACCACTTCCTTTTTTGTCTGAAAATGCATACCTTTCTTTGTCAGGACTTTCTTTAGCTTCTGTAACATCAGTATTCGTGCATTTGTTAATGCCTTTTAGCGTGGAGCTGTCCAGAGTAGGTGTGGTGCTGATTTCTACTTTTATGGCATTGAAGATATTACAGTTGTCTTTCTGAGAATCTTTTGTACTTTCACACTCATAATTCATCAGGTTGTGATAGGATATGGAATTTTCATCATCATCATAGTAATCTTCGTGTGCTATTTTATAAATTCCATAACTTTGTTGGAATGATAGATTGAATTCAAAGCCTTTCCTATTGGCTAAGTGAAAACAATAACAAAATTCCACTATTAGTAAGGCAGATATAAACAACAATAAGATATACATAGTGAATATAAATAGGAGGTACATTCAACTTAATCACTATGAGTTAAAAATATCTTCAATTAATTCTTGTCAATATACAGAAAATCAAATCATCATTCTGGGCCTAATTTTTCTCAGTTGCACAATGAAGGGCTTGAAATTCATACAACCAGAAGGACTTTTTCAGGCTCTATTTAAAATATTTTTTTGGCTTTGCTGAGACAGGGTCTTGCTATCCAGTTCAGGTTGGCCTTGAACTCACTATGTAGCCCATGCTGGCCTCGAAATTACAGTGATCCTCCTGCCTCAGCTTCCACAGTGCTGGAATTATAGGCATGTACCACCACAACTAAACTACAAATTAGAAAGTTCAAGTATAATCAATTTTAGATTTTTTATTGCACAAATTCTATATCTCTCTTGGGATATTGTTTGTAAATTTTACTTTGCTAACAATTAATTAGTAGGTAGCCTGAATACTATGTTATTTAGCTAAGAATACCACCAACAGATATAACTGCTTTAAAATTTTGATGTATACTACTTCTGAAATTTACATGTCTATAAATGCATACATTAAATATTATAACATGTTGGTATAAAACTTTTAAGCTTTTCCAAAATAAAATGTGCATTTGATATAAATGAATTTGGAATAAATTGATAAAAAAATGAATGAGTGTATCTTTCTAAACTGGAGCATTTTATAATATCTATAAAGGTGATTAATTACAAGATAAGGTTAGCAGGAATGCATGAAACTTATGTTAAATATTCTGGTTTTCTAGATATACTATATTTGGTGGATATGATGCAAAATCTTAGAATAACAAGTAAGAATGTGGTATAAAATGACATAATTTTTTGTGTGAATGCCATTCAATATTAATATTTATGTATTAAGAATGAAATTAGAGCAAGGTGGAAAACTAAATGCAATTTAATTTTAAAACCTAGCTTGTTTTCAAAGAAATTTTGTGCTTGGATAGTTATGTGTTTTATAGTCAGACATTAGCTATCTTTGGTAAAAATATGTTATGAAAAGCTGTAAAGTTTCTATGGGAATGACACATAAAATTTGATTCACTTTAGAACACTTCCCAGTTATTTACATGCTGATTCTATTAAGTATGAAATGTTCCCAGAACCGAAGATTTATAAACTAATTTTGTTGACTGAAAAATAGAATTTATCAGTGTCATTCATTGTTATTTGAGCCAAAATACAAGAAAAATTTGTATTCAAAGAAAATGAAAAAGAAGGAACAGATGATCATATTTTATACACTGTCTCATTTATATTTGTAGTTATATTTCCTAGTTATGTAGTCTTGGTAAAATTAAATTAGAATTTTTAACCTAGTTTGAGAATGTGAAAAGTGAAGAAACTAAAAGGATGGGGTTTCCTTTCCTCAAAAAAAGATATACAGTAACAGATTGGCAATTCAAGACCATTAAGAAAATAAAAATGTCATAGATTCTCAATTTCATGATTAATAGTTGATAAAGTTGATGTCTGTGATTATATGTTTTATTACTTGTATATTATAACTCTGAAATATATGAAGTATAAATGACTAACACTTTTTAAAGAGTGCACAGAATGTGTTAGTGGAAAATATGCCTCCATGTTACAAAGTGCAAGAGTCAGTCAGAGATAGGCTATGAAAACAAAGTAGGATTGTGACAAAGAATATGATGTGATAAATATTCTAAGGTTAAGCTATGCATATATATCATTTAACACACCAATGATCCTCTGTGATTAAACGGTTGCTAGGACCACCTATCTGGTAAAATGATTTGAAATTTAAGCTGATGCTAGAATTTGAGTAATTACCCTTTATATGAAATTGCTTCACTGCTAATGAAACTCAGGAAAGAAATATGTTATAGAAGCAGAATGACCCAGGCATGTTATTTTTAGATCAGAAATACATCAATTATAAAATATAAGCCAGCGAAACTTTTTTATTAATTACTTTCCTAAACACTAAAAGGTATATTGTGACCAAGGTAACTAATGGAGATAAGAGGTTATAACAATATCAAAGAACTGAAAATTTTGGCTACAATTTTGATTGTATGTGTTTATGTGTTACCCCTAGAAAAATACATTAAAAATAACAGTTTAAAAGTAACTGAAGTACATGTAATCAGTGTAAAGAGTGATCATCTTTAAGTTCCTTGAGACAAGACATTAAAAAACTGTTTTTGCATGTACTAGGGATTGAACCCAAGACCTTATACATGCTAAGCAAGCACTCTATCACTGAGCTACATCACCAGTCCTTTAAAAAAATTTAGTTTTTGAGATGGGATCTCATTAAATTACCCAGGCTGGCCTCAAACTTGTGATCCCCTTGCCTAGCCTTCCAGTAGCTGAGGCTACAAGCATGAACCACCATGCCAGAGGACTCTGTTTATTAAAATTATTATTAACAAAAAGTAGAAAAATTCAAATGTCAATAGGGGCTAATTAACTAACACTAACAGGTAACAAAGGCAAATGCTAGTATGTTACTAGCCTTTAATATCTTCCCCTCTCTCCAAAGCAGGTTCTTTGGCTGCAGCCAATTGTCGTGGGGGATGAAGATAAAGGATGTTTTGTCAGCTATTCTGATTTTTTAAGATGAACCAGATGCATATATTTTAAAATATATTTTTGATATAAAATATTCTGATCTTAAAATTTTGGCCCATAACTAAGATTGGTTAAAAGTAACTATTAACACTTACTTAAAAAGCCATGTGTTGAGCTAAATTCATGTATGCTTTAAAAACCATGAAATTCAGATCAAAAGTCAGAAATTGGGAATTTTTGTTCCTTATTGAACATGGAGCACAGTGCTAGATACATAGTGACCATTCCTTCAATAAGTATTTGCACAGTGAATGAGTGAGTGAAGGAATAGAGCAACCTGGAGGAATCATGCTTGGCATGATAGGGAGAATCACTCAGTGATTGTAGATGAAATGATTTATACAGAAAAATATATATATAAATTTGGATTTATTTATAGGAGGAAGACCTTGAAGGAACTGGATTTTCTGACTTTTACTTTTATGCTCGTAAAGCAAACAACCCATAATTTAATTGTATTTAAAACTTCTGTGTAGAGATCTTTCATTTACTAATCACTTGCAACAAAGTTAAAGTCTAGTATCTTTTGAAATCTACACTACACTTCTGAAAAATAAATACAGTGTTGTGTTTGTTATGCAAAGCAAGAGCTTCACTGTTCCTAACCTTAGATAAAACATGAATGAACTCTAGTCTTTTTTTTAATCATGTGTTAGCAATTATAATTTTAGAGATAATTACATCATATAAAAATGAGTATTTTTGCAGAGAGATGTCACTTATCAGATACTGTGATTTTGTGAAAAGAGAAAAGCTGAAAATTTGATTTTTATGTGATATATTTGAGTTTTAGCTGTTTGTTTAATTAAAGAAATGAAGCATCTCATCAGGCAAACAAAATGAGTTTGAAAGCCCTATCCATCCCATATGTCTACTGTCTGAGACCCTTGTGTTAAAAATCACTTAAATGGGAAGGGAACCAAAAGATGGAGGGAGAGGAGAGGAAGAAGAGGGGAAGGTAAAGTAAAAAGAATTAAGCTGTGTTATGTACCTGTGCCAACTCCCCATGATGGGTGTAATAATTGTGTACTGCAAATGTGTACCAATAAAAATTAAAAAATAAAATAAATTTAAAAACACATGTTTTGAGATACTACTAATATAGATTATTGTTGGAAACACAAGATAATTCTTATTTTTGCAAATTACTTTTTAGCACTGACATTCAATTTCTGGCTGAACGTCTCTCAGTTCTCATTCACTGAAACTGAAATGTAGAATTATATGAATTTACACGTGCAACTTGAACCTATGGCAAATATGGGTGAGAAAAGATATTTTCCCTTCCTTGCTTCTGGAGTTCACTGATAAGAGTTATAGCTAGGGGTATATTGGTTTGTTTAGGAGAAAAAAGTTTAGCATAGAACTCCTGAAGAATGAAAATTGTGGAGCTGATCAAACAATTGGCCTACCTGATGGGCCACCTGTGGGATCTCAGAATTCTGTTGTGTTATCCTAGCAATAGGCCATTTATGGTGGCTCATCATACAGTAAAAATACAATTTTACTCTCAGAATTTCCCTACAGCATACCTTGGATCACAAGAGGGAATAGAGACATTTGAACTATAAGCATCTTAAACTACTATCTCTCACAATGTTTTATTTTTAAGGAGCTACATCTTTTAAAAGAATCATTCATATTTCAAGTACTCTTCTGGAATTTTAAAATAAATAAAAGTAAAAGCAGTGTAGATTTTAGAGGAATAATGGTAATTTGATTTTAAAAGGTATGTTTTTAATTTCAAAGATGTGAGTAATGGTTTGGCTAGCTTGACTGTAGGCTCTTCTGTCTTGTGCCGTGCAGATGATACACAATTTACTAGGACACTTGTAGTAATAGATCCATTGCTTTGTTTTGTTTTCTGTTCTGATATGGGAATGCCTCAGTTTTTGAAAATGCCTGTCCTAAAACACTTTGTTCATACTTGTCATTTTTGCCAGCACAGAGACTAGTATTATCTTCATAATCTTGAAAGTTTTAAGACAGGGATGGTTCATTACTTTAGTAGCAAAATATTAACATTTATTAGACTGTTGGAGCAAGCTTGTAAATAACTTCTTATTGTTACATGATTTTTATAAGTGCTTTTATTATTAATTTTCTCTGAGTAATTCCTCTGAATATTAATCTTTTGGAGAACACCATTATTATAAGTTCTACCATTACTCTAAAGACAAGTGAATTTAGCATCTATTTACAATAAAATTTTATGACATTCTTAAAAATAAATGTTTTTCAATTGAAAAGTACCCAGATATTTTGTTTTAAATGTCATCAATACACAAAAAAGACCAGTCTGTGACTAACGTTTATAAAATAGTCCTGTTGTGGAATTGGTAGTGGAATATACTTGGATATACTCTAATTTTTACAACCTTAAGATAGTCTGAGGTGAACTGTCTTAATTTAACCTTCCTTCTCTGTTAAGGAATAATATATTTGCTTATTCCGAGCAAAGGACAATTAGTGGGACAATTAATTCAGCATATACTAATATATTCTTAAATTTATTAGATGGTAGGACATCCTATTTTTGTCTGGAATAACAACATAATACCCTTTTCCAATATGAAGCTCACTCCTCAACTTTTTCTGTAGAATGTGGGAACAACTACACAGTAGTTTTGTAATTAGGCCTGCTTCACAATGCCATTTTTGATGTATTCCTCAATATATATTGTGCAATACAAGTGAATATATAATCATGGCTAATTTCATACATCCATATACAATGTCAAACTCTACCTTTATCCCTTGAAATTCGGAGGTTTTGAGAAAATTATTTGGGGATTATTTACAGGCACTCTGATTACTTTGAAAACTTTCCAGAATCCTCAAAGAAAACAAGCAGCAAAATGACAAAACTGCTTTTCTTACTGCTCCATTGGATAATAATGGGTTATATCAGTAGGTTTTTAATTCCTTTCAGGACTTTCAGAATCTTTTTTTAAACACAGGCTTCTCACCAAGGTCAATTTCCATAGACTTGGGAGGACATTTATTTTTCACTCTGGTCTAAAATGTATGCTAGATAGAATATCTAATGACCTTTGTTTACATCATGTTGCATTGAATGACTTCATCTCTTTCTTACCTAAAACAATCACCAGTGCACAAATACTTCTTGGAGTTGTTTAAAACCCGACTCATTTAAAACCCACTCCAACACTGTGCTAAGGATTGTTTCAGATCATTGATTTTTCACCAGTGTTCACCATTCGGATTTGTCTTTGTACTCTTCCTCCTCTACTCAGGCAGCTTTCTCAGTAGACCCCTCTTCTGTCTTTGACTGCATGTGTATTGCCCACAGTCACCACACTTACTTTTTTTCCCATCGGATGCCACTGGGTAAGCGTCCCGCCTGCAGTTGATGATGCAGCCACAGGGCAAGTGGGTCCAGCGTTTGGACAAGACAAACACCGGGGTCACAGTGGTGGCCAGCAGGGTTAGGAGAAAGCCTAGGGTCTCGAAGGGCAGGCACTGAACCCCCGCCACGTGCTTGACCACCATGTGGATCTGGAAAGGCAAGAGAACTTCAGAACTAATCCATAATCCCATTTTCCACTTTACAAGCCTGGCCAGCAAGCACTCAGCCCCAGTCCCCTTCTACAGTGCCCTTTCTTGATTGAAAGCCAGAAGCGTCGCTCCTGGGCTGGCGCTGTGGATTTTAGGGCCGGGCTCTTGGGAATCGATGGGATGCACCTGGCTCGCCAGATCCCACAGGCACTGGTACTCTTTGCTCCTGAGTGCCGGGTCTGCACCCGCTGCTAATTAAAATCTCCACCAGGGAGGCACGAAGTACAAAGTGAAGTCGCTACCCAGGGATACAGGCAGGGGTCCAAGGACCGGTAGTTGGCACTTCAAAGGGCCTTTGTCACCGCCAGACCCCCTCATCCGCACCAGGCGCGCCAGTCACGGCCAGACGCGGACGCCACGGCCTCCTCGGAAGCGGGCTCACCCCCGGAGGCCAGATCAAAAGCCTGCTCTGCTCCTGCACTTGCTCCACTTGGGATCGCACCTCTCCTCTCCTCTCCCTGCAGGGGATGGACGACGTCCTAAGGAGACGGAAAAGGAGCAGAAAGGGACGACAAAGCGTGAAAGGAAAAACCTGCTTTTTACTCCCTCTCTCCTTTTCTGAATATTCCCAGATTTTGCTGCGAGAGACAAGAACACTCTTGACCAGGACAGAAAACTTAAGTGGCTCGCGACCGATAGTGCACCTCCGCCCCTCGATTTTGAAAGAGGTGCTCAGTGGCAAAGGCTCCCTGCTAACTAGCCCTGCCCAGGAACTGCCTTCCTTCAAAGTGTATCACTACCAAGGAGCGAGAGGGAACGGGAAGCAGACCGAACAGCGCGTCTTGTGGCGACTCCCACTCCAACCACGCTGGTCTCCACACACTCACACAGCCTGGGACACACACCCGCGCGTTAGGAGCCACTGCACTTTTACCATCAAGGGCAGCCAAAGAATGACTTTTGTCAGCGCCAGGATCAAAGCGAAGCGCTTCTGCGCCGTGGTCCTGGTGAAGCTCCTGGTGCCCTGGAGAGACCCCGGGTTTCCACGCCTTCGGGCTCCGGTCCCGGCGGCGGCCGGCGGCCCCGGTCCAAACCCAGAGTCTGAGCTGGGGGAGCGCGCCTGAGCGCCGCGTGGAGCAGGGCCTGCAGCAACCTCTGGGGACAGCGACAGCGCTGGCCTTCCAGTAGGGGGGGTCCCGGGAGTGGAGGCTCTGCGGGAAATCTGGTAGTAGGCGGCGAGTCTCCGCGGCTCCTCGGAACACAGCAACTGTTGAGTGAGCGGGACCGAGAGGCCAGCCAGAAGTCCGAAGGCCGAAGCGTACACGGCGAAGAGGAGCAGCACGTAGGAGCTGGAGCAGTCGGCCAGACAGCCCCAGGGAGTGCGCACAAAGGCGCCCCAGCCGCACAGCGGGAGCGCCGAGAGCGCCAGGCTGGCTGCCCACACGGTCAGCGCCGCTCCGAGCACCTGGCCAGAGCTTTTGGACGCTGCCTGACGCCCCACAGCCCTGTGCATCGTGTAAAAGTTATAGGAGACTAGAAGAGTCGCCTTCAAGTTGCTCGAGAGGCCCTGGCATAAATACAGTAAGGCAGAGGTAGTGCACAGAGACTGGAAGTAGCTAGGGACCTCTTTGGGCCACTGCAAAAACATGAAGATAGTCACAGACAAGACGCTCACGAGATCATCCACAGACCAGGAAGCCACAAGCATGGACACAACAGTTTTGTTCTGCATTTTCAGCAGGGAAACTAGTGAAAAAATGCTGCCTGTCAGAGCTGCAAGAGTCATTAAACATGTCAAGCAAAAAAGATAGGTATTCAGAGTTCCTGGCAAATTGGAGAGATCCGTAGAATTATGATTTTCTTTCCACAGGCTAGAGTCATTTGTTAATAAGTTCCTGAGAGACATTGTCCTTTACCAATATTTAATTTCCCTTCTCAGTGAATCTGATGATTTTCTCAAAAGAAAGCATGGCTGATGCAAATAGATGTCATCTCTCCTACCAAGTTTCTCTCTAGATGTTTCCTTGGTCAGTCCTGAGGAAAATGGTCAGGCATCTTTCCTTTAGATCTGATTCAACCTGTATTTAAAAATTGGGTTCCATTTCAGGCATCAATAAAAGTTTTCAACATTCCAATGAAAAACAAGCCGAAAACTCCCTTTCACCAAGGAGGCAAGATTTCAGGCAAGAAATTTCAGGCAAGAATGCAAAAGCTCCTCAGGAAGATTAAAAAGCAATGATGTCTGGATCCTTTTGGGTCCTTATAGAGCAAAGCAGCTCACAGCTTGTTGTAATCAAACTGTATTCACTTCTAAGAGCAATAAAATGCATTTGATTCCAGAGCTGCTAGATTCAAAGGCAGAGAGATTATCAGGTAGGTTTCAGCTGTGAAGGCAGAGGGACAGGAAAAGGGAGACAGGGAGAAAGAGATGGAGAGAGAGAGAGGGAGAGAGAGAGGGAGAGAGAGGAGGGGGAGAGGAGGAGGGGGGGGGAGAGAAACAGGCAGTCAGAGGGAGCCTGAGAGCAAGGCTCCTATCCCAACCTTTGTGCTTTTCAGCCAGCCTGTGATCCTCAGAGCTGCAGGAAGGAGGAGTCAGCTCCAAGCAGAAGAGAAACAGGGAGAAGAGGGAGGGGAGTTCAGTGTATGAACGAAATGATGTATATCTCCTCAGCCTGTCTCTTTCAAAGCAAGAAACAGTGTCCTCACTAAGCCTTCCCCTTTGGTTTTGACATACAAAACTACTCCAAATATTTGTTCAGCCTTGATGTGAATTACAAATATCACCTTTGAGAAGTCTAAGTTACTCCCATAACGAAGGCTCCTTTTATTCTAATCTGAACTTCCAAGCTTCATAATCCATTGAAGGAAGAATATCTTCAATGCCATTTAGAAGAATGTGATGTACCAGACTTCTTTCTATAAACATATTGTACAGTAAAGCTAATACCATATATTCTCATTTGTGGAAGCTAAAAAAGCTGATCTCATAGAAATAGAGTAGAATAGTATTTAGTAGAGGCTAGAAAGGGTAGGGGCAGGGGCATAGAGGTTGGATAATGGGTTAAGATACAGTTAGCTAGAAGTAGCTACTACTTGTGTTCTATAGTACAGCAGGGTAACTATAGTCTATAACAAATATATCTATACATCTGTATACTTCTCTCCATATATCTATATATATCAAAATGAGTACAAGAGAAGAATCTGAAGTTTCCAAATACCAAAATAATAAACATTTGAGAAATTAAATATGCTAATTACCCTGGTTTGATCATTATCACATTTTATACATATGTTGAATTATAGTGTACCCCATAAATATGTACAAATATTACACATCAGTTAAAGTTAAAAATTTTAACTAAGAATCTTATATAGTCCTCATTTTATGAAGCAAGATTATGCAGAATCTTTGGGTAGAGTTATACTAGCTTTACACTATTTTCTCTCATGATCAGGTAAGCAGGCTGTCATTCCAGTAAATGGTACTTCTAGTTGTTTATGAGGGCAGGTGACATTATACATATATGGTCTGAAAGAAAGGTTACCTCATGCAAAAAAAATTAATCCAAAGCATTTGGGGTGTTATAGGCAATGTTTGCAACTCTGAATTATCAGTTTTACAAGATGAATGGCTTAGCAAAGAGGTAACTGACAGCCTTAGTTCCGGTGGGCATTTATTTCTCAGGATGCTTTAGGGTAGCATTCCTCGTCTGCTCAGCCTTATGACCTGATAGCTGCATTTTCTGTCCTCCTTTAGAGCTGGAAGTTCTGAATGGAAACAAGGGGAGGAAGAGTGAAAAGTTGGTATGGCAAATGAAGGGAAGTGGTAATTGAACTGTGATCATACATTTAATTTTTGGTATATTTTAAATCTGAACCTATTCGAGTGGAAAATGATTATACTAGTCATTGCCAGCCACACCCTCCAATAAATACAGTAGGCAGTTCACTTATCTTGACATGTTGATTGATTTTTCCCTTTCAACAGCAAAATGGAAACAAACAAACAAACAAATCACATATGGCCTTTAGCTCAGTTCTCTTGCTCCCCCTACTGGTAGAAATGTACCCTTGCGGCACAGTGAGTCAGAAGAGTCTGGGGGCAGTTTTTAAATGATTCAGAAAGCGCAATGATAAACAGACCTTATTTTATTTAATGTTTCTAAAGTTCTTAGACATGCTGTTTTGTCTCTTCTCACAGACCTTATTCTTTTGTGTCACAGCAAAAATACCATTCTTCAATATGGTATTTAATCTTGGATTTTCAGTTGGGCTGGACAATATGTGTAAGATTAAGATAGAATGAATAGAAATTAATAATAGCTGCTCAATACAATTTCAGGCGTGGGAACATTCCCTCTATTATTACTATCATTTGTGGATTTTCTATTATATATAAATTTAGAAAACGACATTTAACCACAATGGTGCCTTGATCTCTAGGATTTTATAGAAAAAGCAAGAATGTTTAGCACACTAGCAAAAATTGGTAGTAGAATTGCAGCCAAGAGGAAATGAGAAGATAAATCTGAATTTGACTTCAGATTTGCATATTTCTTGGTGAATAACTTAAGTGTTTTGGTATTGAGGATTGAACCTAGGGGAATTTCCACTGAGCTACATCCCTAGTCCTTTTTATTTTTTATTTTTAAGTTTTGATACAGGGTATTTCTAAGTCCCTAGTTGCCCAAGCTGGGATCTCACATGTGATCTTCCTGCCTCAGCCTCTCAGGGTGCTGGAATTACAGGTATGAACCACTATACTCAGCTTCTTAAACAAAAATTCTTACATTTTTTTCCCTCTGGGCATTTGTTGCTGTGTTATAAAGAGTTTTGTGGATGGGGATGTAGATCAGTGGGAGAATGCTTGCCTAGCAAGCACTGGATTTGCACTGAAAAAGAAATGATTTGGTTGGCTTCTTCTTAGAGAACTTCCTAGTTCTAAATTGGATGCTAATATTTTAAAAATTAAGTTTAATTTTATCTTAATTTTCTTTTCTGCATACCCTAAGCCAATCAACATCGTCATCTAATACAAGGTAGAAGTGAGTAAGAGTAATGCTTGGCTCTCTTTGCTGTCAATCTTTCTCTGCTATGATAGGATGGAGTCTCTTGTCAATATGAAATGGTTTAAGATTCAAGCAGCCTGGAATGTTGAGCCAACTAAAAGATTACAGCTGCCCTGGAGAATCTGTGAACCTGTGGAAAGCTTTATATGAGTGATAAGTAATATTTGGTGTGTAAATCACTGAGTTTTGGGGGTTATTACTAAATGGCATCCTAGCTCATTCTGGTATGGTTAAGAATACTTTTGCACCTGTTTCATAGGTGAGAAAACATAGGCCCAGATGGGTTAAAGGATTTGTCCCAGGCCTCATGTTTACTAAGTGGTGGAGTTAAATTTTAAAATTGTAGTGGGGTTCTGCATTATTTTTTTTGAATTTAATTCATCTTTTATATCTTTTTT